CAACTCTGCATCGAGATGATAATCCATCCTATAAAAATTCAAAATGTTATAACACTGTACAAGTGACAATAGAATAAAGTATAATAACAAAAAATTTAGCGAACGAAATTGTAACTACAATATGCAAGACGCAGATTCATAATAATTAAAATCATTAATAATGTAAATTTTTTTATCCTATTATCAATAATATCAATTTTTCCCCATTATCAACATTTTTTTATTCAATTCAAGTTCAAAAAATATTTAAATTCGATGAACGAAAAGAATATTATTTATCAAAAACTATTAATAAAAATAAATGTGAAATTTCAAATTCAATTTTCAACAATTATTTAAAACTATAATTAAAAATTAATTAAATTTGATGAACGAAAAGAATATCATTCAAAACTATTAATAAAATTAAAAATTAAAAGTTAAAATTTTATTTAAATTCAACGACTAAATAAATTATTATTTATCAAAAGCTGATAATAAAAATAAATATTAAATTTAAATTCACAATTAAAAAATTATTTCAATTCGATGAACGAAAAAATTATTATTTATAGAAAGCAAGGAAAAAAAGATAAATATAAAAACAAAAAATAAAAGTAAAAAATTTATTTACATTCAACGAGTAAATGAATTATTATTATGTATCAAAAACTAATAATAAAAAGAAATATTAAAGTTAAAATTACAATTAAAAAATTATTTCAATTCGATGAATGAAAAAAATTATTATTTATCAAAAAATAAGGAAACAAAAATAAATATTAAAACAAAAATTAAATGTAAAAATTTTATTAAAATTGGACGACTAAATAAATTATTATTTATTAAAAACTAATAGTAAAAATTATTTAAAATTAAATAATTAAATATATGTAAAAAAAATGGGCTGAAAAATTTAGGAAAAAAGAAGAATGTGGGCCATACTGACTGTTAACAGTCGGTCCAGTTAGTATGGACTGACTGTTTGGTCCATACCGACTATTAACAGTTGGGGTTCATCCAAAAATGTCAGTTGCCTCAGCAGCTGGCATCTCCACCCTTTCTCGTCCGAAAATCTTCATTTTCGACGAGAAAAGCTTACAAATGTTAAAATACACCCATTATAACACCTATCTGAACCCTATATTACCAATATAACCAACAATATATTGAGAAAATCTCCCACAAACCCCAAATGAATTATTCACATTTTTTATCAAAATCTAAACATTAATCCAAACAAATATTCAATATATCGATTACCTTAACAAGAATTAGCTCGTCGGTGATGGACTAGCAAGTTCTCCCGACCGTGAATTTTCCTTGATTTTGTCGACTGTTGAGCAAACGGAAAGAGGATAGCCGAGGTGTATTTTGGGATTTTGAGCTTTAAATTCAATTTTCATTTTTTTAACTTAAAAAGACGGTCAAATGTCACTTTGAAAATACATCTGGGTTATCCAGTCATTTCCAACAATTTCCTCCGACAAATCCATGGCCACACGTAATAAAAATAAAAGGATAAAGTTTGCATTAATTTTTTTTGTGTACATATATGCGTTCATTATATATAATCATATTTAATGAAATCCCAAAACTGAATCTGCAAGACACCAAATCCCTCTTTCCTACCCATAGCCGAAACCACCGGCAACCTCGTTTGGGTATCTATCATTGAATGTATCTTTGATCTCTTTAAAAAATTTTGACACAAAACTGATGTGTTGTAATTGATACTAGTATAAATACGGTGCTGCGTGGTGCTGTGTCGACTAATAGAAAATTAGTGGATTTAGGGTCTGTTTCGGTCGGGGTGCAATATGTTGGAGACATGAGCCTCTCTTGCAAATTATGGGTTTAGAGGCCCCTGTCTGCAATTAAGAGATTGGTGAATATTGCAATTATTTAAAAGGGGGCCTGCTTGAAATTTTAAATATTGAAAGGACCTGATTTTAATTTGCACTTAGGGTTAAAACATAATTTTCAAAAGAGTGTTAAATTTAAACTTGGAAAGCTTTGATCCTAAAATTTTAATTTTGACCCATTTAAAATTATATCAAATAAATTAATAATTGATTGACGATTTTTTTTCGGTCAAAATGTTTAATTCAATTGTTGGTATTATTTGTTTATTTAAATACCGCTTTTCAAATATTAAAATTTTGTTGCCTATTTTATCTCTCAATCACATATAAATTTTGTCATTTGTCGATTAATGATTATGACTGGTTGTATAATTATTATTTTGTGATTGAATTTTTCATGGGCATTGAGATGTTACTTATTTTTCCACTGGGAGAAATATTTTGAAATAAAAATGGACGTTAGCTGTCAAAGTGGCATACTCATTATTATTTATTTGATTTTCTCTACAACAAAATATATATATCTTTGCGCAACTATTTTGATTTATTGCATATAATATCTTGTCCAAAGGTGTTATTATATGTGATGTTTTTGAAAAATGGCATAACGCAGTTAACGAGCTTATTTTGATCTAGAAATTTCCTTCTGTCCAAAGGTGTTGGTGTTTCGAAAATCAATGTAATTTTGTTAACTAGCTACATGATATATTTTAAGAGTACCTTATAGCATGCTGTATTGTCAGCCCAAAGGTGACTTTATGATGATGCATCTAGGCTCTTACCGTAATGAAATTCATATGATTTTGATTTAAGTTACGGATTATCTAATTAATAGCCTATGTTAATTAGTTGGATATTTTATCATCCATTTGATTGTATGCATTATGTTTGGATGATATTGAGTATGATTTCCACATTTTATAATGTCTCATCTCTTTCGAATCAATTGTCTGCTATTGAAACTTTGACTGAGAATAATTATGTGAGATGAAAATGAGATGTAGAAATAGCGCTTGGTCTTTTGGGCTTGGACTTTGCAATAGAGAAAAAGCTTGAGAAACCCACAGATAAGAGTACTGTTGAATATATAGCCGAGTACGAAAAGTGGGAAAGGGCTATCAAACTCTATTTGAAAATCATTAAGCGATCAATATCTGATTCAATTCTGGATGCCATCCCCGATAATGAAAATACCAAAAATTTTATGGATATCATAGGAGAGAAATTTATTGAGTCTGATCTGATGGATAAATTGATGAACATAAAATATGATGGTACAAGTGGTGTTAGGAAGCATGTCATGAAAATGATAAATATATCATCTAACCTAAAGGCTCTTAACATTCCCATTGCGGAGCCTTTCCTGATCTATCATGTTTAAATAGCCTTCCTAACCAGTTTAATCAGTTTAAGGTTGCTTACAATGCTCAGTGGAATAAATGAAATTTAAATGACCTTATAGCAGTATGTGCTCAAGATGAGTATATGATGACCGTGAAACTGTGCAATTTGCCTTTCAGCAATCACAGAACAAGGGGTTTTCTCACAACCACAAGCCTAAATTTCGTAAGGGTAATAAATCCCACTAAAGTCGGCTAAATAAAATTTTTAGTAGTCCTGAAGGAATTATAAAGAAAAATGATCAATGCAAGTTCTGTAAAAGGAAGGGTCACTGGTAGAATGACTATTTTAAGTTTAAGACTTTGTTGGAAAAGAAAAAGAGTTCTCCAGGTATTCCTTTCGCCTTAGTTTGTTTTGAGTCTTTTTTAGTAGATGTACCTTTAAATTCTTGGCTGTTAGACTCGGAAGTTAGTATTCATATAGTGAATTCCTTGCAGAGATTCACAAGCAAATGGAGACCAAGTGAGAATGAAGTGAGCTTGAGCATTGCAAACAGCTCATTCTGATAATAAAATATTTTCCCCTATCCATGAACTATTTTGAGCATGCATTTGACTTGTGTCTTTTTGTTATGATATTATTGTGATCTCGAGATATAACAGATAAAGACATAAGATGAGTCTCTTTGAGAGACATGTGGCTTCATTTTGATCTCAAACATTATGAGGACCGATATGAATTAATGCAGTGTTTTATCACATTTAGTGCTAAATTCATACCACATAATACCACATTGGTTGGAGGATGGGGATCCATGTCGATAAGGATGTTGGCTTTTGTAGCTGTGGAATGGTCTTACATCGCTTAATTGGTGTAATGACTTCCATGTTCGGTGTTAATATTCTTATTGGACCAAATCATGTTACGTAAGGTGTCATCATTGGAGCTATACTTTTGTGGCTACCTATGTAGTCTAATCCGAGTGTTAAAAGTCTTGTTATAACAATCAAATGTTTGCCCAAGTGGGAGAATGTTAGAATATTCTAATATGGGCTTCACATATGATTATTTAATTTACGAGTTAGATGTATGACTCATAATGATATTTGTGATTGGGCCAAACTTATTAAGTGATCAATTGAACCTTTTACACCTTACAGGTTGTAATTAATATGATGGGATAATTTTAAGTATATGAGCCGAAAATAAACCCTAATTAGAGTTCTAGTTGTAATGGGACGGTTCAATAATTTCCTATATAAAGGTTAGGTCTCATCTCCTCTCCATGTTGTTTTATTAGCTTGCCCCATTGACGGCTAATACTTTGCGAGGAGTAAGGAGGAGAAGATATAGCTGCTATTATTCATATCAACGATGGCTTCCACAGGTATGAATTCGATTTATTAGTTTATTACTTTGTGATTCTTGATTTTTAACATGACTAAAGTCAAATTGAACATATCCCGCTCTGCCTTGCTTCCGATATGATGTTGATAAAAACACGGAGAATGCTTGGTTCTTTAATAAGGCAATATTTTTGGGTTGAGTATGGTATCCAGATTTCCATATCCAGTGCATCGATCTTTTGGCTTAAATACTCAGCCTTATTCAGTAATGTAGGACTCTCGGGGATTGTAATGGTGTCCACGTTCTCATCGGTGAACTATTTGTTAGTTAAATTCAATAATTTTCCCGGGAACCTACTACTCCAAATTTGCAGTTCTTTCACATCCTCTTCAACCGAATCAGCCCAACTCGTTTTTTCCCTTCCCCGCACATTGAATATTAATTGGTTATTTTCCAATCTTTCTGCAGTTCTAGATTTTCCGAATTTTCTTTAGCTGCTTTAGGTTCCAAGCTACAAGTGTTAATGAAATTGAAAATCCAGAAGTTTCTCTAGAGTTTGTACGATCACCAGAAAAGTGTAATTCTGAAAACAATTTGTATTCCTCCATAGAAGCTTTCTTCTGGCCATCATATGCCATAAAGTTCCATCTTTCTTCACTGTCAACTCTAGAAAGATTACCCAGTGGCCTCTTTGTCCAGTCTCCATCAACATATGCTAAATGCTTTTCTAAAATTTGGGGCATCACTTCTGGAATATTGGATTCAGGATTCTGGTTTGCTACAAATTGATTATTTTCTCCATTAATAGATTGCTCAAAGGACAATTTTCAACAAAAATCTCCTCCTGCATTTCCTCTTTTTTGATCTCCACTAGTGAATGAAAATAAACATCTTGGTCGTCTGAATGGAACTTTCAGCATCCTTCCAGCACCAAACAGTGAATCATCTGCCATTTTGCTTGCAGAATCTGCATCCTCGGCTGACCATCCGCTGCTGTGATCACCATCAAATGGCTATGACCATCTTCTTCGCTGTGTAAATGAAACTTTCAAAATTCTTCCAGCTCCAAAGGGTGATTCTTGTTCCATTTTGCATGCAGAATCTGCGTCCCCTCGTCCCATACCAAACAGATGGTGTTTTCTTCTACAATCAGATTCTCAGAATCTTTTCCCCTTTCTGTAGCCTTAAAAACATGCTGAGACTCCAACTCAGTTAGCATTTTAGTGGCACGCTCAAAGGATTTAGCATATGATTCATCCACATGCTCATTTTCAGATGGAACTCTTACATTTTGAAGCAGAAATTTATCTGCTGTCAACTTGTTCGTGTGCATCAAGCATACAGACAGATTGCACTGTTTATTCTTATCTGGCTTAAAAGAGAGTCCTCTTCTGCATCATAATGTTCCACGTGTGAGCTTTTATATTGAAAGAACCAGCTCTTTAGGATGTTAGAACAATAAATTCACAGCACAAAAGTAATACCTGTAATGCTTATGCTCTTCTGCGGATTTGAAATCTCCCTGCTGCATGTATGCCCAGGCCAAATTCCCTAACAAGCTGAAGTTTAATTTTGGAAGGAAACAAATGAGTAGCATATAAGAGAAATTAGAACATTCATTTATGAGTTGAGGACAAGTAAAATGTAAACAGAAATCTTGAATACTCTTTTTCAATTGTAATTTGAATCTTCTTCCGTTTATATCTAGCAATCTTTGTCTTCTTCCCACCAAAAGCAATCCCTTCTTCCAACTGCTTCAGTTTTAGCTGAAATATTTCAATCTCTTCCTTGATCCTCCCAGATAGTTGCATGAACAGGGAAAGTGCTGCTGAAAGTTTTTGGACAATTCAATATCCCAATGTGCCAATGATCATTTAAGTAAAATGTTAGGGATTGAGCCAAATTCTAGCAATAAACAAACAAAATCATAAAAAATTACACAAACGAACACACATATTCACAGTGGTTCTTCAGAGTTACATCAACTTGTCCCCCTAGGTTTTCACTATGAAGGAGAAAAAGAGATTAAAATGGTAAGTCAGCTAGACAGCTACATGTCCCTTAGAATGTAATAAAATATTTTTCATTCTCTAACAGAAACCTTCATGTATATGTAATTCGTCACAAACCATAGATTAATTAACCAATGTGTAAAACATATCAAAGGGGAAAAAGAAGAAGCACACATTAGAATTTAGATGATTGTATGTTACCTAATAAAGTTCGACCAGCATATTGTTAGAAGATTCCTGAGACATGGAGGGAAAAAGATGACGGAATGACATTATGGCCTCAATCGCCTCATCTGACTGATCCAATTGCTTCATGACAATTGCCGTGTCTTTCAGGGAACTATCAACTTGATCGCCAGAATTTATTGCATCCCAAAACAGGCAAATAGCCTTAATTGGATCCTTATCTATCAGCTGTCATCAAATATGTAATAATCACTATCCCTATGAATTAATCAGATAAATTTAAGTCAAGAATAGTAGGATACTCCAAGAACAATTCAATTATATCCCCACTTTGAAGATTTGCTTTTTCTGGAGCAGTTTCTTTTCTAATTTCATTTGAAGTCACAGTCAAAACAGAAATGCACTGTATAAATTATTATTTAGTCAGTAATGTGCTGATCAAATGTATACCATTTTTGGCAATTTCCGAGCAGAATTGATGGAAAGTAAACAGAGCATAAGAACTATAGAAATAAGTTCAGATTTTAAGAAAATCTTTATATGCCAAAAACAAAATAGGATCAAGTCAGCTATATTCATTAAAAATAGGGAGTTCAACAAAAACAGCAAACTAAGTCTTATTCCCAATAAATTGACAGGTGGCAACTAAAAACGAAGAATAGATTGAATTACAAATGAAAAATGATTGCTAAATAAGAGAGAAAGCATTACATTTAAACATCAAAGTTGCAGAATAAATACAAACAATCATCATACCAATTACAAATACTAAATCACAAGAACATGAGATTTAATTGAAACAAGGACAATCCAAAATCATGTTGGGCTTTGGCATAGGGAGAGTCTCCAGACGGGACTTGTGAATCACATGAAAAGGATCACCTTTCACCTGAGGAGACCTCCTTGGCTTCTTCTCTGATTCTGACATTGGCGGCAAACACCAGGTTGTCCTCCGTGCCGGTAGTGGCATCAAGAACCCTTTTGATCGAGAATTATAATAATTATTGTGATGCTCAGAATTACCAGTACTCAACATTTTGATGTTATACCGTCTCTTTTCTTAATAAACCATTCGAACTCTTCCTTATTTTCTTGAACATCACCAAGTCTCTTAAAAATTCAATGGAACTGTTGGTCTCAGAAGCATTCAGAAAGAATCTACAACAATAATTTGCAGCAAAATAAAAGAACACGAAAGATTTTTTGTCACAGAAGCTCGGAAGTTCAGCTTCAAGCATGTTCACCCACTGAGCATATACATGTAGATTACGATCAATTCCACTAAGAAATTACCAAAAAACCAAAAAATAGTACAAATGTACTAAGAAATTTGAAGATTTTTCTCACCTTTCTTTCAACACAAAGACAAAGTAATCTATACAATTTTCTATCACATATTATTTACCAAAAACAATCAGAATCAAAGAGATTTACATAGAAAAACACCAGGTTTGCAGAAAGAGAACCAGACAACAAAACCCTAGAACTTCACACAGAAGAAACTTAGCTCCCGTTTGGCCTCATTAATTTTCATTCCATTACATTTCATTTTTCTCTCTCATATTTTCAATCACACAATCTTCCGTAAAATAATATTACACGTAAATCGAAAATTTTTCTTTCTTTTTCAACCACTCCTTTTTCAAAAAAAAGTACTACTCCACCCATTTTCATTTCCACAAAATGGGGGCCAAACGGGAGCTTAACCAATATGAAGGGGAGAGAGAGGGGTTATATATATTCAAGTATAACCAAAATCGTGTTACTAAAATGAGCTTTGGTAAGGGGTGATCAAGGCCCAAAAAAATTGGGGAGAAAATCATAAATCATGTATTAAGTCTCACAAAATCAATTTTCAGGCCTTCAGTTTAAAAATACAAAAATCATGTATTTATTTATTAATTAAAAAATATTTTATTAAATAAATATAATAAGGTCATAATTATATAATTAATGGTCACGTGTACATAATTATAGGTCAGATTTGTCACATATTATCAAATTAATTGTTTAAGATTATTTTGAGGTCACAAATCAAAAAGATTATAGGTTACAGTTTATTTTATTTGTCACAAATAAAAAAATATAGGTCACAATTTATCTATCAATCACATATTTTCAAATTTGTTAGTCACATTATTTTTAGTCATATATTATCAAATTTTAGGTTACAATTCAATTTCAAGTTCAAGCTTGCTTGCATTCTGATGAGATTAGGCAACAAAACAAAAAACTTTAAGTTTAAAATAATCTAAGAACTTTTCGGACCATAGTAATTTAGGGACTTGCAAATTAATAGCACTAGAATGAATCTTATTTATCAGGTAAGTGGTGGTCTTTAAGGCTTCACCCTAAAACAGTTTTGAAAGACCAGAACTTAACGACATATACCTAATCTTTTTTAAGTAAAGTTCTATTCATTCGTTCTCAACACCATTTTGCTGAGGAGTGTATGTTGTTGTTCTATTCCTTAAAATACCAAATTCTTTACATAAGAGATCAAATTCAGTGTTACAAAATCCAAACCCATTATCTGTTCTAATTGCTTTGATTTTCTATTTATTTGATTTTCAATCATCAATTTTCATTGTTTAAAATTCTGAAAGGTGTCAAATTTATTTCTTAAAGGGAATGTTCAAATTTTATCAGTAGATAGAATCTAAATCCACTCATAGTACTTATTGATGCTAGACCCCAAAGGTCAGCATTTAAATAATCAAGTATTGATGTGGATTTATGAATTCCTATTTTAAAAGGTAGCTTGTTTTATTTTCTAATAACATAATCTTCACAAAATTTCAAACTCATAATATCATCTCTTCCAAAACATCTAAGTTTGTTAAGAATCATCAATCCCTTTTCACTAACATGCCCAAATCTCTTATGCTAGATTAAGGATTTATCATCAGAAAACTGAACAGCAGCTAATAGATTTCCAACTAATGATTCAGCTTGAAGTGTGTAGATTCTATTAACTTTGGGTGAAGAGATTATTTCCTTAGAGTTGAAATTCAATTTGGTAAATCATTTATGGATTTTAATTTCATATTTATTATTCAATTCTCCGAAGGAAATTATTTCTCTGAAGATTAGGAACATATTTTGTTAAAGGGAGCTCAAGAATATGACTATTTTCTAACAGAAGATTAATTTTACCAATACCTTTTATCTTACAAGTCATATTGATAAGTGTATTTTTTACACTTATTCAAGAACTAAAACGATGATATTTAGTTGCTTCTCGGATGAATTAAGGTTTAAATTATTACATTTTGTGTTGAGTAGTTAAAATTCAATGACGGTACAAGAAATTGAAGGAAGAAGCAAAAGTGGGGAAAATTGGAGAAAATGGCAAATCGTAAGAGATCCAAAGTTCGTGGACTAAAGTGTAAATATTCAAAAGTTGTATCGATCCTCACGATGAAGATCCAAGAGCATTAGAAGTCAATTGGATAGAGAAAGATGTCAAAGGGATCAAATTTAGGCAAAATATGATCATAAATCAATTTCCAACCAAAAAGTTATGATTCAAAATTTCAATCTCATATTAAGACCCGTTTTAGACATAGCAAACAATCAAATTGGAGAATGATGTCTGAAGTAAATTTGTAGATCTTTGAGTTAGTTTTTCAACACAACTTAAATCGCCTCAATCGAACATTGGGAGAGAAAGTTATGACAAAAATACTGAATGAGATGCTATCTACCTGAAAGGTGGTGCCGGGCACCGCAGCGCCACCAAAACAGAGCCGCGGCACTGCAGTACCGCTTCAAGGCGTCGTGGCATCGCCTGGGTGTGTCTAGGGTGCATTTTTTGCTCGTTTTGAAATTCATAAAAACCCTACTTTCCACATACACAAGGAGACATCTATAAATACAAATTTATCACACTTTTGAAGGGGTGCCACACATTAAGAGGCAAGAAAGGAATCTTGGAAGAAAAAGGGATAGATTCAAAGGGAGAAAATAACGATAAATTCATCGTATGAAGCATCAATTGGAAGATGAAGGAATTCTTGGTGCAAGATCTACTTTTTCTTCTACATATTGAATTCTAAAATCGGTGATGTACTCTAAGACAATTTGTTATTTCTCTTCTTTCATTATGCGTAGTTAGGCCCTTTGTTAGGGTAAACAATGTAACCTATTTGGGACCCTTTATTTCTTTTATTTGAGATTCTTGTTCGTTATGATTATGTGTGAATTTTAATCATATTTTTAATGCTTTGAATTTTCCGGTCAATTATTCATTGATTTCGTGAACAATAATTGCATAGAGATGCGGATTCTTGTTTAGACCACATTAAAATTCGGTAAATTAATATAACAAATAGAGATACTTATATTAATTGTTGCGGTCCTATAGGAATTCTTAGAACTATTATTTCGTTGAAATAATGTTGATTTGCATAGAGATATGGAATTGAATTATTTAAATAAGCTCAATGTGAACTCGAGAGGGGTAAATTGAATACCATAGAAGAATTGGATCGAACACTACTTTAGTTCTATAAATCTTGATATTAGAAATAAAAGTGACCAATAGGTGAATTTGTTCCGCCTTTACATCCATTCATCATTTAAATTCGCAATCACTTTTCTTGCATTCACATTTTAATTAGTTAGATTTAAAAATCACATTCAATCATTTTTTTGTTTATTTTCATCAAATAGATGTTAGAAATAATAAAAAGTATAATCTTCGCGGGAATGATAATTCAGACTCAAAAATTCCGCTTTACTACTTATCACGATCCATCCACTTGCAGGATAAAATCGACAA